AAAAATGGCTTAGTAGCACAGGTTGCCCCCAGGAAGGGGAATGGGTGGGATGGGGGACAGATGTGAGGGAGACTCTTGAACTTGTTAAAATGTTGATCTGTGTAAATATATTGCCTGTTCAAATAAAAGTAACTTAAATTTTAAAATCTTCTTTAAAATTTCTAGGGAATGTGTATCAAAGTCTTACAAAGTCTTCTCAGCTCTTCTGAAGGACTGCTATTCCGCTCTTGGGAATTTACCCCCAAGGTAATTAAGTTCCAATAAAGTATCATCAATATGGGAGAAATTTGTGAACCATTTTTTTTTTTTTTTTTGCTCACCCAGCATCCATTCCCATTCTTCTGGCAACAGCAACTTGACTTTGTTTTAAGGAACTCTCTGCCCACCTTTGGTCCTTGTGCTTCTGACAGAAATGACCCCTCTATTGACTCGTAAGAAAAGCATCTGATCTAGACCCAGCCATTCACAGCATGACTTCTTCCTGACCACAGCAACTGGTGCAGGGAGGAGTGAGAAATCCCAGGGAAGTAAATATGATCCCCTCAGAGCTAATCCTGAGATCTTTGCTTGAGGGATACGGAAGATAACGTATTCTCTTTCCCCCATGGTTGTTCACAGAAAGGAGAGAATCTGGGTGCTGTTCATGGTCCCGACTGCCACTGTTCAGGCAGTGTTTGCCTGAGGCCCAACACAGAGGAAGCCTTCACAGAGAGGTGGCAAGAGACAGATTCCCTAATGACACCCTTTAAGCGCCTGGATCCAGCAGTACCTGAATACTGGGATAGATCTAGGCCTCTGTACTTTTCCATAACTTGAAACCATGTTTGTCTTACTTACACCAACTTGAGTTTGGGAGGACAAGAAAGAGAAATCCAAAATAAATAAGATTAATACCGCACAGTGTTCTGGAAGTTTCATAAACTTATTTGAGATCTGAAATGAAGGTAGGTGCATTGGCTGAAAAAAAAATCCCTTATAATAACAATAGCTAACGCTGGTGTAGCACTTAATATGTACCAGGCACTGTTTTAACTTCCTAATTCTTCTAACAATGCATTAATAGGGACTACTACCACTACCATTTTAGAAATGAGGAAACTGAGCCACAGAGAGGTAAAAGAAGTTGCCGAAGATCACCCAGCCAACAAATGGTTGAACCAGGATCCAAACCCAGGCACTCTGGCTCCAGGTTCTGGGCTGCCTCCTGTTGCAGTGCTCAAAAGTGCTGGAAACACACAGAGACCTACAAGGAAGCAAGATGTTTCTGAAGGAGCTGGAAATCATCTTTTTTTAACCATCTTTTTAAAAAAACACTATTTTAAAAAATGAGGGAAGGGGGTGGCTATTCAACATCTGACTCTTGGTTTCAGCTCAGGTCAGGATCTCCAGGTCCTGAGATCAAGCCCTAGCACAGGCTCAATGCAGAGTCTGCTTGGGACTCTCTCTCCTTCTCCTTCTCCCTCTCCCTCTGCCCCTACCCCTGCACTCTCTCTATCTCTCAAATAAATAGATAATTTTTTTTTAAAAAGTGAGGGAGGAAATGATGGTGTCTTTAGCCATCTAATTATGAGACAGATTGGTTTTCTGTCAATTGTGATGCTCTTCTTATCCACTAGGACAGTCCTGTTTCCCTGTTTCCTCACAAGTCATATACGACTCCAGGAGACTCCTTCACAATGCCTTTAGGGAATCTCCAGAGACCCTCCCAAGAATTCTAAACATTCCCAAGAACATCCAAAGAGATTCCCCAGAGATTCCTGCCCCAAAATAACGTCCTGATACACCCCCTCCCTCAAATATCCCATAGCCTGCCCAGGCGCCTACTGACCGGTGACTTGGCCCAGGTTGGCACACTTGTAACTACTGCAGTCTGTCCAGATGCCCAGGTAGCCTGTAAAAGAGCCCTGCAAGTAGACCAGACGTCCATCCACCATACTGAGCACCATCAGGGTTGCAAGGACACTGAAGACGAGAGACCAGCGCCGCAGGATGAACTTGCGGTCCTCGTCCCAGGAAGAGACCACGTCGGCTGGGAAAGAAGAGAGTTCTGGGGGCTAGGATCCACCTGCAAACCACTGCTGCGTGCTATTCTCCGTTTCTGACCATGGCCACATCTCCACCCCCATCCAGACCTTGCCTTTGACCCCATTCTCAATCCCCTTCTTCCCACAGCCATCTCCCCACCCCCACCCAAACCCCAATTCCCACCTCAGCCCCGTCTCTGATTCTAAATGCATCCTCATTCTCATCTCTAACCCTAATACCCAACTTGGCCCCCAACCACAACCCTGTTTGAAGTCCAAACATATTTGTTTTGTCTCTAACCCCCTCCTCCAGTTCCTGTTCCCCAAACCCCAGCTCCATCTCTGCTCTCAACCTCATCCCCTTATCTAGACCCTGTCACAAATCTCAATCCAGGACACACAGAGCTACAACACAGGCTCCAAAGGCATGTTCATGAGGCCGAGATCCATGGTGTCATCTATACCCTACATCCACCAAGCCCCTGTGATCCTGTCAACCTTCCTGACTGGCAGGGACTCCTGTCTCCCCTCCCTTGCTCACTTATGTCCAGCCACACTAGATTTCACAGGGTCCCTTTCACACTGAGAGCTTTCCTACCTCAGCACCTCCACACACAGTTCGGGCTGCTCCTTCTGCCTGTTGTACTCTTCTTCCACCTGTGCCCAAAATGCCCTAACCACCCTCCCATGCCACTTCTTCCACATCTCCTTTCCTGAGCTGTCCAGCCTAGCCCAGCCTCAATTCTTGGACAAAGCCACCCACCAAATGCTCCCACCGTGCAACATGCAACTTTTCTTCACTGGTGTCCCACAGACTTGTGATTTCCCCTTATCCCACTACTTTTTTTCCCTACCAGTCTTCTCCAATGGACCTCATTGAGGGTCAGCAACAATTATCTTCTGTTTCCCACTGACCCCTCATCAGCTGGTATAGACCCTTTGCTATTTGTTTAATGAAAAAGGTAATGATGGAATGCGAGAATAAATGAACTGGTGGGGACATCCATGGTATCTAGTTGTAGTAATTCCTTCCTGTCCTTCTGTGGCACCTCTCAGTGTGGATTTCAGAGGAAGTTGGGTATACGGGTCTAGGACTTGGGAAGGAGCTTGGGGGTTGGAGAAAGTAACTTGGTGAGTCGAAATCAATATCTGCGAAGTGTAAAAAATCCAACAGGTTTTGATTACAATGGGTTCTAGGCGCTTTTACATGTTGTTAATCCACTTCATCCTTTTCTTTTTAAAAATATTTTATTTATTTATGACAGAGAGAGAGTGAGAGAGGGAACACAAGCATGGGGAAGCTGGAGAGGGAGAAGCAGGCTCCCTGGGGAGCCTGATATGGGGTTCAATCATCAGGACCTCAGTAGAAGGCAGACGCTTAACGACTGAGCCACCCAGGTGCCCCAACCCATTTTATCCTTAAGACAACTCTCTGAAGTACCATTATCTCCTTGGACAAATGAGGAAAACAAGGCACAGAGGAGTTTGATATTCATGTAATTAAAGACATAAAAGTTTGTGGATTTTTTTCCTTCCTTCCTTCCTCTTTCTTTTTTCCAAAAGGCTACCACAAAAGCCTAAAGGAAGGATTGGGAAAACGGAAGTTTGCAATATCACCACTCCTGACTGGAAAGGCTGCACATACTTGGAGTTCCTGCATTTCCACTGACCACTTTTGAGCCCTTCTCAAGCTGTGGCTGTTCTGCCTCCCCTCCCAAGCCTGGGCTGCAGGTCTCTGAGGGCAGGGAATGGGTCCAACCTTCTCTTGGTCCCCAAGGCCTCAGGAAAAGATGAAGGGAGACAGAGACAGAGGAGAAAGAGAGCTAGGAGGGACACTGAACTTGAAAAGGGAATACAAGGAGGAAATTGGTTCAGTCCCCCTGGGAGTTGGGTGAGGTAGGGGCAGATAGGAGGAGGGGCTTCCAAATTCAGATCTCACACCCTCCAGAAACTTAAGAACTGACCTCAGGGGCACCAGGGCTGGCTCAGCCCTGCCCAGCCCTGACCCTACTCTGGCCCCTCTCTGATTCTGCTCTGACTGGTCACTCCCCTCCCCACTGCCACTCCACCCCTGCCCAGTCCTGACATCTCTCAAACCCAGGCATGACCTCTTCTAGACCCAATCCTGACTCTGCCCATGCCCCACATGGACCCCACCCTGACCCAGCCCCAGTCCAGGCCCCCTGTCACTCACACAGGTTAGAGCGTGAATCCATGGCCAACGTCCTAACCTCCTGGAATCTCTCCAACTGTCATGGAACCTCCCCCTCCCCCCCAGCTGTAGGCCAGACTGAAGGCCTGAGGCCTGCCCCTAGATAGCAGGAGAGACCAGAGAACACAGAAGGAGGATCAGAGAGATCCAAACTACAAAGGACAGAGCCTGAATCTAGAAAAGAGACCAAGAGACTCCTAGATGGACATGAAGGTGCCTGGAAGGAGGGGCTGAAGCAGTTGGCAGGCTGTTTAATTCACCTGGGGACTGGCCTTGCCTTGCATTTCCACATGTCCCAGAGGCCCCAACCTCACGACAAGAGCACCCAGCCAGATGTCCTTCCAGCAGCTCCCAGTAATATCCAAAAGGAGACCCCAACCTCTCCATCCATTCTCCACAGTCGCCAGGTCAACACCCAAGACTCTCGGCCCATTCCCTACAGGCATCAGGTCAGCATCCAAGAACACTTGCCCGTTATCCACAATCACCGGGTCAGCATCGAAGAACCCCTACCCATTATCCACAATCGCCAGGTCAGCACCCAAGAACCTCCATTAGTCAACAGTCCCTGGGCCGGTACCCAAGACACACCATCTGTCACCCACAGTCGTCGTGTCAGTACTGAGGACACACCAGCCACTCTTAGCAGTCACCGGGTCAGTGTCCAAGATGCACCATCAGTTAGCTACAGTCATCACTTCAGCACCCAAGATGTTCCACCCAATTTCCAAACTCACTACTTCAACATTCAAAATTCTCCGTTAATGACTACCAACTCCCTGACTAATATAGAGTCAGATACCCACAACAGAAGTCAAGCTACTAGCGATAGCCACTGGCCAAGACGCTGGAGTTCTCACTCAAGTATTCAAGGCCTCACACTGCCAGTCAGGGCTAAAGTCGATGTCCCCCCTTCAATTACTCACAGCCCCACAGTCAGTATCAAAAGCGTTGAATCAGTCATCTGGCCCTCCCAGGAGAGTTTCAAAGGCTCTGTGGACAGCGCCCAATCCAACCAAAGTACTCTAGAAAATAATATCCAGAGCACACAGGCAAGCAGATCCAAAGAGATCAGTGCTGACAGGTGAGAGGCAGGGGTCCAGGCAGCGGGCCAGGTTCTGGGCTAGAATTCTGGGAAAAGGACAGCATGCAAAGGAGAGGAAGCAGAACTAAAACCAGTATACTGGAGGCTGGAGGATGGACCCAGGTGTGGCAGGAAGCTGAATCTGAAGGTTGGCTCTGGGTGGGGCTTGGCATAAAGGCTGGACCTGTGATTGATTCAACCTAGGAATGGAATGTGGGGGTGGCAGGGTTTGGAAGCTAGATCTGGAGGCAAGGGAGCCTAGAGGCTGAATGTGGGTGAGCAGGTTCTAGAGGCAGGACCTGGGGGATACAGGGCATGGAGGATAGACATAGAGAAAAGAAAGTCTGAAAGCTAGACTGGTTGGGACAGGGTCTGGCAGCTGGACCTGGGGTGGCTGGGCTGGGTGGCTGGACTCAGTGCTGACACTGTGTGGTGGGCAATCTGCTACAGGTTTCAGAACAGGGGTAGACACAGCCATTCACAGCTGCCCATGGGCTGGCGGCTGCTGCATGGAGCCAAGAAGATCAGCCGTCAACTGAGTCTGGCACTAAGCCTGGTTGGCATGATGATCATCGGTTTCATCTCTCTGGGCCAGCCCTGGATCCACTTCCAGGTGCCACTCGGACCTCCTGAGCACCCTGATGGCTTCTTGACCATCCCCATCAACACTGCCCTCTTTGTGCAGTGCCCTGACATCTCCTGCCTACATGATTACGACCAGAATGTTTGTAAGGCCTGTTCTATACTCACCATTCTTGGGACTTATCTCTCCTCTTTGTCCCAGGGACCCTTCTCTGCCTTCCCTGGGATGGTCCTCACTGCCCTGGGTTAATCTTCCCTTCTCTTAATAGTTCTCACTACCCCTTGGATAGTCATCCCTTCCCCCACCCCAGTGGTCCCCACTGCCTCAGGACCATCCCCATTGCCCTGTGCCCATCTTCACCTCCATGATGCCCAACCTCACAGTCCTTATAACCCTAGGATCTTACACATTATCCTGAGGCTTTGCACCCCAGGGAATCTGCCCTCATCAGGTTCCTCAATGCTCACCTCCCCTCTCCCTGCCCAAGAACCTATTCTCATTGACCCAGAGGTGTGCCTTCTGTGCTACAGGCATCTGCCTTAGTATCCCTTCTCTAGAGACCAATTTCAATTTTCTTAAAATGAAAATGAAGAATCTGCAAGGGAGAGTGTTTATGAATACTCCCAACTTCATTGGGGACCCTCTCCCCCATGCTCAGGGCCCAAGTGCCTCTTTTAGTGTTCCTGGTTTTCTTTCTTTCTTTCCCAGATTTGCTGGACTTTGCCTGGGCCTTTCTCGTCCTCGCCAGCATCGCCAGCTTCTGCCTCTGCATTTTACTCATAAACATCATCTTCTTCACCAGCTCCAACTTGTCCATGCTGGACTTCTCCAACGTCATCATCAGCCTCCTGGCAGGCACGGCACTAAGATTTTTCCCTCAGGAACCAAGGCGAGAAGTACCTTGTCTGGTGCCCATCATGATATCCAATCCCCTCCCCACCACATTCCAATCCCATCCCCATCTTCCCTTTCATCACCAATCCCAGTCCTATGTGCCTCCAAATCTCCAATCCATGCCCATAAAAAATATGAACTTCCAACACAACCCCATCTCTAGCCCCAATACCAGCTTCCACTTTGCCTCCCATCTCTATCACCAACAAATCTCAAACTCACCCATTTCCCCCTTGGGGGTGCCGATCCCCATCCTAAACAGCATTCCAATCCTATCTACTTTTCAATCTCCAAACCATCCCCATTCCCATCCCCAACCCTTTTCCAAATCTCAACACCCAACTCAACCCCGTACCTAACCCTCCTCGACACTCATTCCAAATTCAACCCAACCCTATCACCCGTGAACCTCACTTTCAAACTCAACCACAACCCATCTCCAACCTCATCCTCCATCCTTATCACTCAAACGTCGACCTCTACCCAATTACCCATTTAGAGTTCCAACCCCATCCCAAATCCTATCTTCCCACCACCGCCTGCTCTGTAATTGTGTTCAAGCTACTTAATCTTTCTGAGCCACAATTTTCTCATCTGTAGGATGGGGATAAAATTTCCCACCACATGGAGGTATAGTGAGGACTGAATTAGAAAATGTTGCTACTTGATGGTAGATATTTAACCTTGCCCAAGTCCTTAACCATGATAATCCTCCCACCTGACACAAATAACTCAAAATTGATACTCTGATTAGAATAGTCTAGTTTAAAAAGAAGAAAAAAGGAGGAGAAGAAAGGTCTAGTTTCCCACTTGCATGCCAAATACACTTTTTAAAAGGAGGTGGGGCGGCACTTCAATTTGGAAATGAAGGATATTATGTTCCTGCTATTTGTAGTAATTGACCACAACTTTTATTTGTATCAGGAAAACATTCTTGGAGAGTGATAGCAAAGTCAAGAATAAGCAACACTCGAACTTCCTGTTGCCTTGTGTGCAAGAAGTATTTATCCAATTTGTTCAGCAGCTCTTCCCAGTTGTTGAAATATAAGGTACAAAGGGTATAAAACACCTTAGTTTTGTGTCATTTATATAAGATATTTTTCTACCAAAAAAAATTTCTGCCCATTCCTTTTAATTAAATGGAAAACACCTCCTATATTATCTTTCAATAACATAAAGGAAAAAATTACCCAAGACTTCACTACCTAAAATTTTAAAAGTTGAAATATTCAGAATGAATGGGTTTCTTGTCCCCTCCTTCAGAAGCCCAAAATTAAAGACACAATACAATGATAATAATTGAGCTCAATTCTGGGCTCACTGTGTATCAGGAAATGTGCCAATCTCGACAACAACTCGTGATAGTCCAAGGAGATGAGTCCTATGATTATGCCTACTTTACAGAGGAGGGAAATGAGGCTCGGAGAGATGAAGTGGTTGCCCTAAGGTGGGAGGGAGACACAGGACAAGAGCTCTGGTCTGTTGGTTCCAACGTCTATGGTTTTAGACACCACCATGGCCTGGTTGAAGACTTGCGCTTCCAATGTACTCTACCATGACAAGGTCAGGAGCCTGTTTTCCCACCTGTGCACAGAGGTACAGGGAGGCAGCAGAAAGTGGGACAATACTGATCAAGGGCTAGGCAGCTGCACAACTATGGGCAGGGTTCTGCACATACCTGATGCCCAGCTTCCTAACACCTGTACTCATGCAGGGACCAGCATCATCTTGGGTGTCCTGTTCTACCTGCTGCAGGCCAGGGAGTACTTGCAGGAAGGCATGACTTACAAGCTGGGGCTCAGCTTCTACCTGGCATGGATCGGCGTCTTTGTCTTCCTGATGACTGGTCTGGGCTCCAGTGGGGTTGGGTTTGGGCATGGGTTTTCAGGAAGACAGACAGGGGCTGAGTGGGATAGAGTTTGGGATGAGGATGGATTGTGGATAGGGCTAGATAAGATGGGACTGTGGTGGGAGACAGGATTGGGGAGATGAGGGTGGGAATGTGTGGGCATAGGGCTGGATGTGGGGATGGGGTTGGGTTTGGATTTGGGAATGGATTGGGGACAGGGTAGGGGTATGACTGGGCTTGGGGAGGGAGTTGGGGTCGGGGTGGGCTGTGAACTCTGCTTCTCACCCTCTCTGCTCTCTTCCTTCTCCAGGCTTCTTTTCCTATCTCAACTACATGAATTTCTGGTCCATCCTGGCGCTCCAGGCCGTCTGGACTTAGGACGCGGGAATGACTCCACCTCTCCAGGCCTGTCTCCATGGCTCTCTGCCAAGTACCTGACAACCCTGCTCTCTAGCCCTCCCCCCCTCTGAGAGTTTTGCCTTTTCAGTCCCCTCTGAATCCCCCCACTCAGATTAATAATTAGTATATCTAAACAATCTGTATTTCTTGCCCAGAATATTCTCCTAGCTCAGTATATTGTTAAGTGTCCTGTAGAAATGCCCCCCTCCTTGGGCCCTCTGGAGTAGAGGGACAGGTAAGGGAAGGAACTCAGGAGAAAGAGATGCAAGGCACAAGGTCAACAAAGAGACTGAGCCAACGGTTCCTGGCATCATACAGATGATGCCGATCAATATTTGTTGGATAGCTGAGTCTCTACAGGCTCTCAAGGCTTTATCTTTTACTTTCATGAATGCCAGTAATGTGCCCCTTCTGAAGCAAATTCTCTCTGCACCCGCACTTTGCCTCCTGCTTTTCCCAGCAGCCCCCCATCGTGACCTCCTCTTCTCCCCTAACCATCCCCCAACACAGAGCTGTTCTTTAAAAAAAAAAAAAATGTCTATTTACCTATATACCTATCTTTAAGGTTGTTTGATGGACATATTTTTGCTCTCAGAGTTATTTGCTGAGCAGGGGTAGGGTTGAAACTCAAGTACAGATTTTATTTCATTGCCTGGGTCCCTTTCCAGGTTCTCAACCAGGGGGACCCCTCTACTTCCCTTTCACACAGTGGTTAAGCTGGAAGGGTTGAGGGTAGGCTCTGCCACTTATTAGCTCTGTGACCTGTGCCCAGGTATTGAACCATCTGGGTCTGTTTCCTCATCTGTAAAATGGGGGTAATGATAGTACTTCAACTTAGATAGAATTTAACATAACACCTAGTCCATAGTTTGTGTTCTTTAAGGGTTACTAAAATAATCCTGCCACTTCTTTCCCACAAAAGGCTCTCAAATTATCTTCATCTTTAATGTAAATTGAGCTTCAACTATGTGGCAGACACTGGATCGATAGCAGTGATCAAACTAGCCACAAATCCTTGTTTTTATGGCTTGACATTTTGTCAGAGAGGCAAAAATATATGCCCACAAAGAGATATGTTAGGGATAAGTGTTATGAGGAAAAATAAAAGAGGGGAAGAAAGACAGGTCTGGGAAGGGGTGGGGTCTCCTTGCCAAGGTGACATCTGCGCAGACACATGACTGAAGAGGGGGGAGCCTTGGGGATAGACTGAGGGAAAGGATTCCTGACAGAGGGAGCAACAAGTGCAAAGGTCCTGAGGTACAAATGTCCATCCTTGGCAGGCTCCAAGAAGACTAGGGAAGCCCTGAGAAAGGGAGGGGGGGCAGGGGCAGAGGGGGACCAGGAGACAGTTCACTCTGGCCTTTGTGAGCCACAATGAGGGCTTTGCTCTATTCTGAGTGAGGCAAAATCCAGTGAAGGGAATGTCTCATTTTCTTAACAGAAGGGTGTAGGTCTCTTTTACTTCAGACCATAAACTTCATTGGAAGAAAACAATCCAAATGACAAGGGAGACAATGTGTGTTCCACTCCAGAAGGGAATACTTTGCCTCTGTTTAAGGAATGAGGTCACTCTATATGTACTGATGGGCAGGGGGACTATTTATGGGACAGAGTGGAGGAGGGGCGGGAAACATTATTACCCACAATACTTGTATGCGTGGGTACAGCCATAAAGTAAAAAGTCTACACCACATCAACAGTGGCAACTCTGGTGAGTGGGTTGGATTTGAAGCGGAAAGTTTCATTTTTTATCTTTGAAAAGAAAAAAATGTTTACTGTTGGGTTCCCCAAAAGTTGGGTACCCCAATAATGGGTCCGTGATTAAAGGAGCAAGACTGATACAAAGCGAAGGTCAAGCAAAGCTTTATTTCGCGCCAAGCATCAGGAATCAGACCGACCGTCAAACAGACTGGTTGGGGACCGCCCCTACAGAGAGGACCACCCCTCCCTGCTTTCCAGACTAACTTTTATAAAGCAAAGGCCATGTGGTTGGGCCTGGCCACACACAGGTGGCCAATGAGATTGTAACACCCACAGGAAACTCCACAGTGATGCTAGGTGACCAACTGAATTACAATTTACCCTAGTAGACATTTGAACCAGCCTATCACACCTTGGTTAGGATTGGCGCCAAAAGGCTCCCAAAGGGTGGGGGCCCATACTCCTTGGTAGCTAGGAGACAGTATGCGCCCCCACTGATTGAATACCTCCACCTGGCCTGACCCACCCTTGTATTTGGACTTTGTTACCTGGGACTGTTTTCCCGGACTTGCTTTTAAATTTTTCTTTTTATAAGATTATTTATTTATTTATTTATTTGACAGAGATCATAAGTAGGCAGAGAGACAGGCAGAGAGAGAGGGGGAAGCAGGCTCCCCGCGGAGCAGAGAGCCCGATGTGGGGCTCAATCCCAGGACGCTGGGATCATGACCTGAGCCAAAGGCAGAGGCTTCAACCCGATGAGCCACCCAGGCGCCCCATCCCGGACTTGCTTTTAAATAAGTTCCGGTGGGCGGGGGGCAAGGTCAATTTAAGCTTTACAGCAAAATGGCAGTTCAACGGGGTGGGGCTGCTCTGGCTGAACAGGCCCTTACATTACAACCATTTTAAGTTGAAAGACACTCCCCAGAGCTCCAACACTACGAAGAATCCAAGCCCCCAGGTCTTAGATCATCTAGACTGGGGGTGGGGGTTGAGGGCAGGGGATCCGGCCCTCACTCAGCCCAGGATTGCAGGCCCCCAGCGTCCTCCTCCCTTTGATCCAGATGTCCAGGATTCCAGCCCGGGTGTCCAGAGACCAACCCCTCCTTTCGCAGCTCAGGACCAGCCTCTCATTCTGCGCCACGCGAGCACCGCCTCAGAACGTCCTTGTCAATCTCCGCGCTGGCCCCGCCCCCGCCCTGCGCAGGGACTTCGTCAGGGTGGGCCCCGCCCCTTGTGCCCAGGGCTGGCGCCCCTGCCCCGCTGGCAATTCCAGTTGCCTCGCGGTCCGTCTCCGGCCGCATTCGGGGTCCTGCCCCTTTTCAGCCCGCCTTTGGGGCTGTCCTCAGAATTGCCTGACTCTCGTGACAGGATAACGGGGCCCGCTATCCCGCTGATCCTTTTCGCCGACTCCAGGGACAACATTCTGTTGTCTGTTCAGGAAGATTTTGCGAGAATAGCCATTATTCGCTTTCCCAAGCGCCAAAGTTGGATTTCCGACACCGGCGCGTGTGCTGGACGCCTCGGGGCGGAGCCCGGGCTGGCGCGCGCGGTGGGCCCGGGCGAGCGGCGCGCACTATAAAGCGGGACGCGAGGCCACCCGCGCACGCTTTGGAGAGGCTGAGGGACGGGTGAGGTGTTTTTGCCCCTTTGGCTTCATTCCGGTCGCGCGTCTGGGCTTTGGGATCTGGGTCGCCCCTGTCAGGAGGTGCCCCAGGGCTGCGGCGAGGCGGCCAGTTCGTCGCGTGAAAGGGGTCTGGGCCCTTGTGAGACCCCGGCGCGCATTCCGAGGCGAGCCTAGGGTTCTTTGCGGGGCGGGCACCCTTTGCAAAGGGCGCTCGGAGTGGGGAGGACTCCTGCCGCCGGAGCGAATGAAGACTCCCAGAGCTAGCGTGCCTTTGTACCGCTGCCTGGCTGCGCCATCTCTTTCCCACGTTGCAGGGCTCCGCCATCTTGTCCGTTTATCTTGGGGGGCTGGGAGGGCTGGGGAGCGCGTGTGACCCTGAGTTTTTCTTAGGTTTTCCACCCCTGTGTTAGCTACATTTGTTTTCCTTAGGCAGTCGCTGTTTTTTCGATTGCACGTGGCTGGCATTTTGTACAGCCTAGCACAAAGGTTATGGGGGGGTGGGGATTTCTAAGGAATGAGGCGGAGCAGAGTCTCGAAATGAATTACTGGGTTGTTTCTGAGAACCATGTAGGTGTGGTTTTAGGAGTAAGCAAGTGGGGCCTTTGTTTACCCTCACGAATCATTCTGACACGGTCCGTCCAGGTATCAGGAGTTTGTGTTCACTCCATGCATCAGTCTCGTGAAACGTGACTTCTGGGCTCATTGGTCCTTGGGGTCTTGGACATCCCTTGGTTTCCTGATTCCGGAGAAGACCCGGCCCCGTGGCAGGTGGCTGATCATCTGTCTCCCCACCACGACCCACCAAAAATCCTCTCTGAGTTTCTCCTCCCTTTGGGCAACCATCTGGAAAATCATTGACTTGATCCTAACGGTGGCCGCGCCACAAGTAAAAGGATTTTTCAACTCCATCACTGGCGCGCCCTCTGTCGCTGTTGTCCGATGTATTTCTCTTTCACTTTTTATCATTAAAATCCTCAGGCTGCTGGGAATGCCACCAAAGTTAAAGTTGTAACGTTTTGCCATGTTTGCTTTCCTTGTGTTTTGAAGGCACGTTTTTAATTTCATCGAAAATAGTTAACACTTTATATCGTATTTGTGGTTTCAAAGTCGTCTCCAAAATGTCTTCCTCAGCAGGTTTGTTCCAGAATGGTTGCAGTAAAGGGTCTCCGGTCATTGCATATGCTGCTTATAGCTTAGGGTTATTTTGTTTTGTTTTGTTTTGTTTTTCCTAGAATAGCTCCCTCCTTTTACTCTCCCAATAGGTTCTTTCAAGGGATGGATGTGTACCCTAGCAGCTTTCATTGCTTCGGGTACTAGCAAGTAGAGCCAATGCTGAAAATCTGTAAAATGGGGCAAGGACTGGTAGACACCGGGGTTTCTCCATGTGTAGTGGGTTTGAGGACAGTCCCCTGTGGACCTGTGACACTGGGGAAGTGGAGTATGGTGTGTCTCCATAGGGAGAGTTGAGGGCTTTCATACCTTCCTGATGGGTTTTGTGTTTCCCAGTCTCTTGAGTGCAGTTAATCTGGCCTCTGTTCCTGAAGGTGAGTGGCCTTGGGATGTGGTTGCTTTGGGGACCAGGGCTCGCATGATGTCCAGCACTGGGCTCCTATCACCCCTGAGGATGCAGTGCCCCCCAGGACCTTTGACA